TTTGCGGCTCGGGCGGCTCGGCTACTCTGCTACTTTGCGGCTCGGGCGGCTCGGGCGGCTGAGGCAACTCGGGCGGCTCGGGCGGCTCGGCGGGACGGCGGCTCGGGCGGCTCGGGTGGCTCGGGCGGCTCAGGCGACTCGGCGGGGCGGCGGCTTGGGCGGCTCAGGTGGCGCGGCGGCTCGGGTGGCGCTGGCGGCTCGGCAGTAGCCCGGCGGGGCCGCGTGAAGGCGGGGTCGGGGCCGGGAAGGGCGTGCGACGGGGCCAGTAGGGGCTGGGCCGGGGCCCTAGGGTAGGCGACGGGGCCAGAGGTAGGCGACGGGGCCGCAGGTAGGCGGCGGGGCCGCAGGTAGGCGACGGGGCCGCAGGTAGGTGGCGGGGCCGCAGGTAGGCGACGGGGCCGCAGGTAGGTGGCGGGGCCGCAGGTAGGCGACGGGGCCGCAGGTAGGCGGCGGGGCCGCAGAAAGGCGGCGGGGTCGCAAGTAGGCGACGGGGCCGCAGGTAGGCGGCGGGGCCGTAGGTAGGCGACGGTGTCAAACATTATATATATTGTTGTAGTTGTTTAGGCTACAGTGGGTTAGCCTATAGGGGGTACACACTTCTAGGTTTCCATATTTGTACTCATTTCATCCTTAGTCATTTCATTCCTTGTTCAACAGACGGGGCCGAAGGTAGGCGGCGGGGCCGCAGGTAGGCGGCGGGGCCGCAGGTAGGCGGCGGGGCCGCAGGTAGGCGGCGGGGCCGCAGGTAGGCGACGGGGCCGCAGGGTCGGGGCCGGGTCGGGAAGGGCGGCGCGAGGGCCGCGGGGTAGGCGACGGGGCCGAAAGGGCGGCGAATCGGAGCCGCAAAGGGCGGCTCGAGGGCCGCGGGGTAGGTGACGGGGCCGCTAGGGCGGCGAATCGGGGCCGTCAAGGGCGGCGCGACACAGCCGCTAGGGCGGCGTGATACAGTGAGAAAGGGGGAGCGCGACTCGGGCAAGGGCGGAGCGCGCTCCGGGCAGGAAAAAAAAATCGAATCGGTGGGCCCTAGGAACAGTTCCCACGAGGGAAACTGCTCGATACCATGAGAAAACTGAAACGAGAATGAATGCACTATGAAAGATTTGGGTACAAGTACTAACCCTAATTGGGTTGTACCCTATACGGGTTGCCCCACTACAGCCTACACAAAAGCATAAGCTATAATGTTCTGACAGACCGTGCTAGCATTGGGCCCCCAGAGGGGTCAGCCAGTGAGACAGGGACAGGTGCAGCAAGGGGAGTGATTGTGGTACTGTCGCGAAAGAAACAGCGGGAAGCACCAGAGTCAAGTGTAAAGGTGTGCAAAGCCTGAGCGGACGCAGTAACAGGGAGAACATACTCAGTAGCACCTAGGGCTGCAAGCTCTATACCTGGGTCAGGCGGCATACACAAGTAGCAGTCACCCTTAGCACTAACAGTCAATGCGTACATAGCAGCAAGAATTGCATCATAGTCAAGATCAAAGATAGGAACATCACGCCTAAGCAAGTCTGCCCAAGGGGGAAACTCAGTAGCCTCAGGAAACTTGGCGCGCCAGGCGTCGGTAAGCCGAGAGAAGCAGCGGTACTCCGTGTGAAAGCCGTTGCATGGGCGACCAGCGCGGGGACCTGTGCGAATGATATTGGTGCAGCGAACAGGACCCCCAGACGCCCCACGCTGAGCGTACCAGTCATGAAGCTGCTGAGACGTGGGGGTCTGATGCTGACGCTGCTGCTGTTGCTGATGCGGCTGCTGCTGCTGCTGTCCCTAGCCACCACTGGAGCTCCCCTTCTGGCCGCCTCCACTCCAGCCCCCACCACCACTGCCACCACCGCTCCCTCCTCCCCCACTCCCACCGCTGCCACCTCCACTGCCCCCGGTACCCTCGCTGCCCCCACCACCACCTCCACCCCCACGACCACCCCCACCACCTCCACCACCCCCGCCGCCTCCACCACCGTCCCCTCCACCGCCACCTCCACCTCCCCTGCCACCCCTGTTGCCCCTGGCGTTGCGGCGCTTCCCACTAGGAGCGGAAGCAGCCCCGACCTCCTCAGCACCAAGGTAGTCGCGAGCAGCAGCAGCAGAGGCGTAAGAGGGGGCAAGAGGGGAGGGGGAGCACCCCTCAAAGAGGGGAGTGCGAGGAGTGCCACGAGCAGCACCAACAGCGAGAATGTTCTTTTCGGCTGCTAGGAGGTGCGTCTCGAAGTCGGCGACAGTGAGAGTGGTCGGGTCTAGGGCGAGAAAGTGGTCCCTGACTGAGCGAAGAGTGTCAGGGAGGCGGGTGATGAGGAAGTATAGAGTAAAGTACATCGGGGGGTGATTCTCGGCGAGGAACTTGTCTGAAAGGGCGGCACGAAAGCGAGCATCAGTAGCGCGGAGGTGAGAGATGAGGTCCTCAGCGGTGGTAAACGAGGACAGGTCGGGGAACAGGTAGGGTAGCATAAGACGACCTAGGGCTGCAATGGTTGGGGAAGAGTAGCGGGCAACTACAGCTTCATACAGTGCCTTACCAGTCTTGTGCTGACTAAAGTGCGCGCGCTCAGTGATCGGCAGATGGTTGCGAATAGCGAGGCGCGCAGCAGCATCACGAGTCTGCCACTGTGAGCGGTCAAGAGCGGCAGCAGTGTCAGCAGGAGCAACGAAAGTGTCAGACGCGTGATCAAGCAGTGAAACTCCATCTTTGGCATCAGTCATAAGAAACAGTTGCATGTCGTCGAGCCAAGTGGCAAACTCTATCGGGCGACCGTCAAGATCGAAAGCGAGGACATTGAGAGTCGCCATGAGTGCAGCGCATGTGAGAGTAGCGCGTAGGCGGCAAAGCAGAGCACAGACGGGAGAAGCTGTGCACAGGGCTGCAGTGGCAGCGCACGAGCTGCTGGGGCGGCACGCACGTGGCTAGGGCGGCGCGCGGGGCAGCGGCGAGGCGCGCGCAAGCTGCTGAAGCGGCGCGCGGGTGGGTAAGGCAGCGCGCGAGGCAGAAGCGGGCTGCGCAAGGGCGGCGAACGCAGCGCGCGGGGTAGCAGCGGGCTGCGCGGGCGGCGGACGCGGCGCGCGGGGCAACAGCGGGCTACGCGGGCGGCGGACGCGGCGCGCGGGGCAGCAGCGAGCTGCGCGGGCGGCGAAGGCGGCGCGCGCGGAAAAAAAAAAAAAAAAAAAAAAAAAAAAAAAAAAAAAAAAAGGCAGCGCACGCGGGCAGCGCAGCGCAGGCAAGACAGGGCGCGCGCATGAGGCGCAGCGCAGGCAAGGCAGGTGGGGCAGCTCAGTAACCGCAACGGTAGGTGGGCCCTAAAAAATCGGTCCTACGGACCTACTGCTCTGAATATCATGTCAGAAACAACTAGCAGGAATGAATGAACTAGGTCTAAGTTTGGTACAAGTATGAAACCCTAAAGGGGCTATACCCCATATTGGCTACCTCCCTACAGCCTACACATGTGTAATATATAAATAATTTGACATAGCAGCGGGGCGCGCTAGCGCGCTGAGCTGCGGGGCGCACTGGCACGCTGGGCTGCGGGGCGCGCTGGCGCGTTTAGGGCTGCGGGGCGCGCTGGGCTGCGGGGCTGCTCGCGGGCAAAAGGGGCGCGCAGGGCAGGGCTGCTCGCGGGCAGCAGGGGCGCTCGGGGCAGTGGCTGCTCGCGGACAGCAGAGGCGCTCGGGGCAGGGGCTGCTCGCGGGCAGCAGGGGCGCGCTTGACAGCAGGGCAGCGCGCTAGGGCAGGCAGTGCGAATACCGGTAACTGCAGGGCAGCGTGACACTGTGCGAGAGGACCGAACAGCGCAAGGGCGCTGAACAATAATAACGGTCAACAGGAACGATCGGTGGGCCCTAATAACGTAACAGGTTTCCTGCTCTGAATACCATGTCAGAATCAACTAAGCGGGAATGAATGAACCACCGTATGAAGGAGTTGGGTACAAGTAACCCTAAAGTGTTGTACCCCTTGTAGGCTAACCCACTATAGCCTATAGAGAACACAAACATACAGTTTGACAGTTGGTGCTGTTCCCAGCGTCAGCAATTTATTGTTGTACCGTACATGCCCTGATTTTTTAGGTCATGAGTGTCCTGCCCCTCTCTTTTCCACAAGCAACCATGTGCTACTACACCAATTACTGTTGTACTCTGTTGCATTGGAATGTCAGAATCTCACATTAGCATATAAGTACAAGTGACAGGGAAAATGGTGCCCTAGGAATTCAGGATGAAGCTTCCAAACGCCCTGAGACAGGGTGGTCTTACCCCCCTTGCCTTGAGGGCTACACGATTTCAGTAGGGTTTGCCCTGAGCGCTACACATTTAGTTTGAGGTTTTGCCCTTGGGGCTACACGAGGGTTTGTCTTGAGGAGGTTTAGGGTGTGAGGGGCTGCTCTTGACCCTGTAGCAGGCACTTGCTGAGGTTCCAACAAACACCGCTGCATGTGAGCGGGGGTTCAGCAGACAAAACGCCTTAACTGTTGCGAACGAGTCTGCATGGCGAGGCCAGCACATTGATGGCACGGAGCAGCATGTTGATGGCAAGAGTGCACTGCAGCATGGCACAGCATTGGGTGGCTGATGTGGTTGAGATTTGGTGCAGTGCACTCCTTGTCACCTACTGTTGCTGCTCCTGCTAATGCTGCTGCTGCCTCCGCTGCTGCTGCCGCAGAAGCTGTAGCCTGGTGACTTCTCAGATGCTCAGGGTTTAGGGTTTGGGGTTTAGACTTGTCAGCATGTCCGCAGCAATCGGCTGGTTTGGACTTGCAGGCACGTTCTCTTGGCTAATTGGACCCTCAAGCTGCAGCGCCAGCAGCAACAACACCAGCACCAGCAGCAGCAACACCAGCGCCAGCAGCAACACCAGCGCCAGCAGCAGCACCAGCGCCAGCAGCAGCACAGCAGTGACTGCAAGGGGGCACAATGGCGAGCACGGTAGGCTGCCAATGCAGCACTTGGTTCCCAGCTGGAAATCCCCTGGAAACGTTAGCCATGGGATGAGTATCGTCATCTGACGATCAGCATCATCCCCTGCCTGCCTCCAGGTCTCTGGCACCCAGCAGCGGCACCCGCAGCTGAGGCGCTGCTGCTGACGCTCTCACCATCAACCCGCCGCCTCCTCCTCCCACCCCTGCTGCCAACCCTATGCCCCTTGCCGCGGTCCTGCCAGCCACAGGGACAAAGGAGCGCTCTGCTTCGTCCCACGCCCATGCATACATCACCCTGCCCCATGCATGCTTCACCACCGTTATGCCATCGTCACAGCACGCCACTCCGCCTGGTATGCACCCTGCCCTCCCTGTCCCCATCTCCTTACTACCACCGCTGCTCATACTCTCTCGGCTGCTGCTGACGAAGCTGCTCCCACTGCCAACCTTCCATCCACCGCCCCCACCACCGCCGCTGCTATTACCAGTGCAAGAATCACCCGTTTTGCCGCTGTTGGTGCTACTGCGTGCACATTGCGTGGCGCGGCCGTACATGGCCATGCCCAGCACGGCCAGCGACATGCCCAGCATGCTGTGCCGCGACAGCGGAGAGTGGAAGAAGACGACTCCGATGCCTATAACGAGGACGGTCTTGACGTGGCCGAGCACCTGGTAGGTGGTGGCGGAGAAGCGGCCGATGCACAGATACACGCTCAGGTTGCACGCCACGGCCAGCAGCCCCGATAGCAGCAGGAAGAGCTGCGGGAAGGGATGGGAACGAAGGGATGAAAACGAAGATCGACGAGAGAGGGATGAGGAGGGGAAGGTAGGGGTAGACGCTGAGGAGGAGTGGGGAGTGTGTGCGGCGGTGGTGTGCAGATTTGGGAGTGCATTTTGAGGAGCACATGATTACAAGAGCGGAGTGGAAGGGCGAGCGGGCTTACGAGGGCGCCGGGGGAGAAGTGGAAGGAGAGGAGCGAGCGCGAGGTGAGGTAGAAGTCGAGGGGCGGGCCGATCAGCAGCAGCAGGAACGCCTGCAGGGGAGCCGTCTGACTCAGCAGATCGAACGATGACGTGGCGTAGTGGTCCTGCAACCAGCCAATAAGCTGCGAGTAGTGAATCATTGGGGGGAGAGGGGAGGGGGGAGCGAGCGGCGGGGGAGAGGGAGTGCGGGAGAAAAAGGGAGCGAGAGGTTGGGTGAGGGCGACGGACGGGTCTTCACGTTGAGGAGAATGCCGCAGGAGCGAGGATGACGGCAAGAGGAAGATCAATTGGCGCCGATGAAAACGACAACCACGACGAATCGAGCACCGGCGCACGTCGCACGTCGCGCGGCACGTGTCGCAAGGGGTCGCACGCACCATCATGTGCAGCGCGGAGCAGACGACGGCGAGGGTGGCGACGCAGAAGCCGGCGACGTTGAGAGTGATGTCGGCGTTGGTGCACAGCCCCACGCCCACCATCACCACCGCCATCGCCGCCCACACGCTGCGAGCGATTTCGCGGCGCCAGGCGAGCGACTCGAAGAGGCAGACGAGCGGGATGACGGCGACCTTGGAGATCTGATAGAACCCCACCGAGTTGAGCAGCAGGCTGAAATTCGTCGCCACCAGACTCGCGTTCCCCAGCAGCGCGAACCCTAAGAGTACCCACAGAGGCAGCACCGCCGCTGCTGCCTTTCCTTCTTCTCTTCCTCCTCCGCTACCGTCGCCACCGCCGTCGCCGCTGCCAGTTACGTTGCTGCTGCTCCTGCTGCTTCTGCTGCTGACGCAGCTGCTGCTTCCGGTTAGAGCGGACGCGAGGAGGCCGACGATCGCGGTGACGGCGAAATGCAGACCCGTTAACGTCGACACTGCGACGCGCGACGGGGCAGGGATGATAAGGAGTGAGTGGGACGATTAATTACACATAATCGATGCCTCTCCTTTCAAGTCGCGGCTACTCTCCATTCCCGCTGGAATATTTGTAGTGACTATCTGCCTCTCGGTGAAGCCGCGAACTCGCAAAAGCTTCGGGTGAAGCATAATGGCGTGCTTACCGAAGGTGAAGCCGTAGGCGGACATGAGGTGCTTGTTCACCATGATGATGCCCACTGCACCGAGGATATTCATCGCCCATATGCCCGCTGACACCGTGTACGACGACGACGACACGCACGACGACGCCGGCGACAGCGGAGAGTCCTTGTGATCCATGGCTCTAATCGCCGAGAATTGGGATGAAGGGAAAAAAGGGAGTGTGAGGGGATAATATTATCCAGATATAAGAAGGTTTCTTTTGTGTTGAGAACCAGTGCTCGTGCGTGGTGCGGCAGTCAGTCTTTACAATTCGCATGGGTCGCTAGCTCTGCAGGTAATTTGCGGCGTCACTAGCTGCGCATCACTGTAGTCATCAGAAAAGATTGCCAACGGGTGGAAGCTGAGCAACATGCACAACGACACCTTCTACTGTATTTGGCTTGGGACCAAATGGGGGGAGTTCGGCCGTTTGAGGGGAGGGTAAGGGGAAGTGGGGCAGCGAACTGGGGCGAGGGACAGCGACTGGATTTGGTGGTTGTGGAGACCTCGGTTTTGGGGAGGTGGGGGAGGAGCTTCAACGTGGTCCCGAACCGCCTTGTTGGGCACCAAACCGACAGAACCGACGCGGTGCGCTAGGTTTCTAGCTGCCACGCTGGCGGTCTAGCGAAATAACTCAAGGGATTGGTGCACATCAGCGGGGCGAGGCCCCTCCACGCATCGGCTTGCGAAATCGAGGAGAGACTTACCCGAGATAAGCAATTCGTGAACTAACATAGTACGCACAAGAACTCAGTAGTGAGACTATGATTACGAAAGTTGTAGATACAATGAAAAAAGCGGCAATCATAGGGCGAATCCTAGGCAAGGACCTCGAAGCAAGCTAGGCTTGTAAAGGTGGCGATTGGTGAGGAGGCGGCTTCGAAATGGTTCTGACGTGAGATGCTCTTGACATCCCAGCTACAGGATGTCTACAACAAGGAATTAGATTTCCCTACAACAAGGCACATTTTTTTTTACTGGGGTTTACTCTTTCGCGCACAACCCCAACTTTCGGAAGCGCATGTTCGGACGATTTGCTTGGTGCTGAAGCAACCTCACGTTGCTTTCGGTTTTCATTTGCCCAACTTGCACCCAACATCGTGTTCCCGAGGTTCCCGCGTAGCTAGGTTGGACCGCTATATAATCGCGGGTCTTCCATTGTATCGTCAATTCATTCAGTCACAAGCTTCGTTATTCGTTTTCCGCTCAACTCTGTGTTGCAACTCATAACATCTGGTATCAGAGCCACTTTTTAAATTCACCCCGCATTTCGAGGGTAACATCTGTTTGGAAAACACACCTGCGCGACGAAACGATAGGGTGCAGTGCAACAACTCTCTCTCCCGCGTGCACACCAAGCATTTTACAAGGGTCAGAGAACTATGAGATACACAATTTCACCATTCTCATAAGGAGTGCAGTTGTTGCACTAGTTCATGCGTTCCATCCTTTACGATCACACGTCACAATCTAGAAACGCAGCAAGGCCAATCCTTGTTATCCACTGCCGTTGCGGAACTGCCAGTATCCAGGTTGCCTCGCCCTTCTCCACTGTCTTTAGTAGGTGCTTTCGACGGGTTTGCGGGATAATTCCTTATGGATGAGCATGGCGGAATGGTGGTAGATGGCGGAATAAGAGACGGAATGGTAGTAGATGGCGGAACGAGAGGCGGAATGACGGTATATAGCGGAAAGAGATGTGGAATGGTTGTCAAACTCATATGCTATAGTCTGTGTAGGCTGTAGTGGGGTAGACAATATGGGGTACAACACTTTTAGGTTTTCCTATTTGTACCCACCTGCTTGCTACTTCATTTATTCCTCGTTCTTTCACATGGTATAGAGCAGGTTCCCTAGTGGGAATGTTTCCTAGGGCCCACCGAATATCGATTATTTTTTTCCTGCCCGGAGCGCGATTCGCCCCTGCCCGAGTCGCGCCCCGTGTGCCTACCCTCCCGTCGCGTCCCCTGCCCTTAGTGGCCCGTCGCGCTCCCCTACGGCCCCGTAGCGGCCCCTCTCACGGCCTCTCACGGCCCCTCTCACGGCCCTTCGCGGCCCCTTCAGCCCCTCGTGGCCCCTTTCGCGGCCTCCCTTCAAGGCCCCTTCGCGGCCCCTTCACGACCCCTTCGCGGCACCTTCACGGCCCCTTCACGGCCCCTTCACGGCCCCTTCCTGGCCCCTTCACGGCCCCTTCACGGCACCTTCACGGCCCCTTCACGGCCCCTTCGCGGCCCCTTCACGGCCCCTTTGCGGCCCCTTCGCGGCCCCCTCGCGGCCCCCTCGCGGCCCCTTCGCGGCCCCTTCGCGGCCCCTTCACGGCCCCTTCGCAGCCCCTTCGCGGCCCCTTCACGGCCTCCTCGCGGCCCCCTCACGGCTCCCTTCGCGGCCCCTTCACGGCCCCCTCGCGGCCCCCCTCGCGGCCCCTTCGCGGCCCCTTCGCGGCCCCCTCACGGCTCCCTTCGCGGCCCCTTCGCGGCCTCGCCCCGTCGCAAGTCGCGGCCCCGCCCCGTCGCCAGTCGCGGCCCCGCCGCGTCGCCCCCGCCTCGTCGCGTCGCCCCTGCGGGACCCGCGAGGCGCGGCTCCTGTGCGTCGCGACGCCCCTGCGGGACCCGCGTGGCGTCACCCCTGCCCGCCGCGGCGCCCTGCCCTAACCCGAACCTGGAGCAGCCGCCACTACAGCAGCCGCCCCTAGAGCAGCCGCCACTGCAACAGCCGCCCCTAGAGCAGCCTGCTCTGCAGCAGCCGCCCCTGGAGCAGCCGCCCCTGAAGCAGCCGCCCCTGGGGCAGCTGCCACTACAGCAGCCGCCCCTGGAGCAGCCACCCCTGCAGCAGCCGCCCCTGGAGCAGCCGCCCACACAGCAGCCGCCCCTTGAGCAGCCGCCACTGCAGCAGCCGCCCCTGGAGCAGCCGCCACAGCAGCAGCCGCCCCTGGAGCAGCCGCCACTACAGCAGCCGCCCCTGGAGCAGCCGCCCCTGCAGCAGCCGCCCCTGGAGCAGCCGCCACTGCAGCAGTCGCCCATGGAGCAGCCTCCCCTGCAGCAACCGCCCCTGGAGTAGCCGCCCCTGAAGCAGCCGCCCCAGGAGCAACCGCCACTGCAGCAGCCGCCCCTGGAGCAGCCACCCCTGCAGTAGCCGCCCTTGGAGCAGCCACCCCTGCAGTAGCCGCCCCTGGAGCAGCCGCCCCTACAGCAACCGCCCCTGGAGCAACCTCCCCTGCAGCAGCCGCCCCTGGAGCAGCCACCCCTGCAGCAGCCGCCCCTGGAGCAGCCGCCCCTGCAGCAGCCGCCCCTGGAGCAGCCGCCCCTACAACTGCCGCCCCTGGAGCAGCCGCCCACGCAGTAGCCGCCCCTGCAGTAGCCGCAGAGCCCTCGCCCTACAGTGGTAGCGTCCTCGCCGTTGCCGCCGTTGTACGCCTGCCCTTCTCGCCACTGATGAGCACTGCCCTGCCCGTACTGCTGTTACTGCTGCTCTTGCTGCTACTGCTCTTTCTACCGCTACTGCTGCTCCTGGCGGGGCCAGATGCAGCTCCAGCGACGTCCGCGTGAGTCCCTCACGCCCCGGCAGCTTCGTGAGTGGTACGCTACTAGGGGTTGTCGGGGTGGCCGTGGTGGGAGTCGTCCTAAAGTGAGTAGTTTGGCAGCTGCTTGTAGTGGCCAGGTGCAGCTGCAGCGTCGTCCGTGCGCGGTCCTTTCGCCCCAGCAGCTTCGTGAGTGGTACGCTCAGCGTGGCAGGTCACGGGGTACTGCTCGCTGTCCGTACGTCATTCCCATTGGTGCTCGGTCTGGTCAGCCTTGCGGGAAGTTTGGTCACACAGAGTCCCGCTGCTTCACTCGTCTGAGCGACGCCTGGCGTACGGAGTTTGGCGACACGGCTGAGCTCCCCGACTGGGTGGAGCTGCTTAGGCTGCGGGTGGATATCTATACTCTTGACTATGATGCTATCCTCACTGCCATGTATGCATAGCCTACTAGTGATGAGGGTGACTGTTACCTGTGTGTTCCGCCTGACCCGGGCATTGAGGCTGCTGCTCTAGGTGCTGGTGAGGCTACTGCTCTAGGTGCTAGTGCGTCTGCTGCCCCAGGTGCTGGTGAGTCTGCTCTCTCAGGTTCCACGTCGGCTCAGGCCTTACACACCTTCACCCTTGACTCGAGTGCTTCCCGCTCCTTCTTTCGAGACCGCACCACGCTTACGCCGCTTAGTCGGCCGGTTGCGGTCTCCCTGGCGGACCCCTCTGGGGGTCCTGTCCTTGCTCGCTTCTCCACTGTCTTACCGTGTCCGGCAGCCCCCTTTGGCACCCTATAAGGTCTCTACCTCCCCTCGTTCTCTATGAACTTGGTGAGTGGTGCTAATCTACAGGATGGGGGAGTTGACCAGTTCACTCATGCGAGTCAGCAGGTGACCCACTCTACGTGTGCTCGGACGGGCCGACACTTGGCCACGTTTACCCGTCGACCGGGGTCGAGCCTGTACACACTGACTACTGAGTCTCCTCTGGTTGCTGAGCCTGGTCAGGTAGCTGCGTCGAGTCAGGTGTTTGCTGCAGCGTCCAGGTCTGGTCCTGAGTCTGCTCCCTGCTCGTGTCGTCTCCTGTCCCACCAGACTCTCCTTTGGCACCACCGCCTTGGTCACCCCTCCCTACCTCGTCTCCGAGGCATGGCCTCCCGTGTCCTTGTCTCTGGTCTCCCCCGGCCCCTCCCTCCCCTCCCTCCGGGGCCTGCCCCTACCTGCGTTACCTGGGTCGAGGGGCGGCAGCGCGCCGCCCCTCACTCCTCCGAGTTTCCTCCGACAGAGGCTC